TATGTTCTGCAACAAAGCCTAAAACGTCTTTCCATTGCTGACACCTTAAAAAAATATATAATAGTGTGTTTTTTATCAAATCGCAAAAATTTTGTATTGTTTAAAATACCTATTTAGGTATGCACTTTGTGTTTTTTATATTTAATAGTTATTTATACACCAAGTGAGTTAAATGAATGTTTATTCATGAGAAGAAAGTTTAACCCACGAGCCCTAGCGAGTGGGTTAATTTTCTTCGAATGAATAAACATTTCAACTCTCGTGATTTATACAAAATTTTATCCCATTTTGATGGACATTCAAAAAATTAAGTACCTAATAGGAATCAAATTATAAAAAGAATTCATTCTTAAAAGACCGAGAGTGATCTAAAAATATTTTAAATCACTCAGGTGATAAACGTCTACTCACCTTTGTTATTATGCGTTCAATAATGTCATTTTTAAACGTCAAAATGGGATAATAGTTATTTATACACCAAGTGAGTTAAATGAATGTTTATTCATGAGAAGAAAGGTTAACCCACGAGCCCTAGCGAGTCGGTTAATTTTCTTCGAATGAATAAACATTTTAACTCACGCGATGTATACAAAATTTTATCCCATTCTGATGCACATTTGAAAAATTATGTACCTACTTAATAGGAATCAAATTACGGAAAGAATTCATTCAGCGAGCGCCTATGTCTAATACCTATTGAAAAGGGTAGTTGCTAGGGTATAGCTAGTTGTTTGTTTGTATTTGTAGCAGATTTTTGTACTGGCAGAGTGACTTAAAAAACCGAGAGTGAGTTAAAAATATTTTAAATCACTCAGATGATAAACGTCTACTTACCTTTGTTATTATTCGTTCAATAATGTCATTTTTAAACGTCAAAATGGGATAAAAAATTATAACTATAGTTCACTACCTATAATTAGGTATTTCTAAACAAGAATACCTATTAGGTATACCTTGACAGTTTATTGAGTAATTTATTGCTTACCTTATAGGATCCTTGGGAATACGGAAAAACGAAAATTGCATGTCACTTGCAGAATTGATTCTACATGAATCCACGCAACAATAATTTCCGTGAGCCATCACGAATAATTGAAAATTACAATAATTTCAACAACCCCACAAAATAAAATATACTACACTTTTTGCTTGGCGCACCCGATATAACAATCTGCAAAGCCACCCTGTAACTGAATGCATTGATGACACCCGTGCCAAGCAGGTAACCGATGGGGTAGAAAAGGGCGTTGGCACGGGGAGGGGGATTTTTGTCGACGAGCGAGAGTGACCAGACTTATTGACAGATCATCGTCATAATTATTGTTTTTCAATTAATTTCATATTATAAAATCAGCGGTAAGTGTATCTCACCATCACGTTCTGGTAGTAACTTTTATAGAATAGCAGTTTTTAATGAACGTTTTCCTACGAGCGTGCGGGAAACGCGTTTCCAAGCACCAATTTGCGTGCGGAAAGTACCACTTTTCCGTACGGCGTGCGGAAAAAAAAATTCATCACGGTGTGCGCGAAAAAAAATTTCACATAAATAATTTTATATTCTTCTCCTAATTTTTAAAAAATCAAATATTTGGCCATTTCTTTTATCAGATACAAAAACAAACAAAAAAAATTCAATTTCCGCAAGTTCGTAGGAAACATGTTATACCTAGCACGAGTGTAAAGTATCTTTTCCGCGCTTACTGCTTGCACGAACTCCGCTAGAGCGTCTTCGCTCGTGCAAACGCCGTTGCTTGCGGAAAAGTATAACTTTCCGCACTTCTCAAATAAATAGCTATTTTCCTAACGAGTGCGGGAAGAGAAATTTCTTCACGCACGAGTTAGGAACTATATTTTTTCTATGAGCATACTAAAGCTGATGTTACGAAGAGTTTAATTCAAATAAAATGCGATTATGCAGAAGGTAGAATTAAAAATGTATTAAAACGTATTTATAAAAAGGAAAACGTACAGGTATAGGTGTATCAACAATACAAACTTCCCGCACTGAGTGCGGGAAGAAATCTCTTCCCGCACAGCAAATCGTGCGGGAAGAGCCATTTCCCGCACGCTCGTAGAAAATAACTATTTTCGGCAAGTGAATAAATTTTCATTAAAATAATGCAGAACATATTCTGACAGTTCTATTAGCCTCTTCGGGTGTTAATTTTTTTTGCTTATCTATGTGTTCCAACAAAGCCTGAAATATGTTTCCATTGCTGACACTTCAAAAAATATATGATTGTGTTTTAATTTAATCAAATCGGAAAAATTTTAAAATAAAATTTACTACACTTTTTTCTTGGCGCACCCGATATAAAAAGCGACGCAAGCCACTCTGTATCTAAAGGCATCGAGGAGGGTCCTCTCGAGCAGGGAAAACATAGGCTAGAAGTAGCGCGTCGGCAGGAGGGGAATTTTAGGCGACGAGCGAGAGTGAGCGGACTTGTTCTAGATCTATAGACTTTGGTGTCAGTGTCAAACGTGTAGTACTTGTGGATTTGTATTGAGAATTTGAGATGAATGAAATTTGTTCATTAAAAATCTCAAATAAATTAATTTGTCGTAAATAAAGTAGAGTATACTACTCGCAATAATAGCTATCACCCACATAACAGTGAAAGAACATTCATATTCTCAGAATATTCCCTCAAAGTACTTTTTGGAATGTTCTTTTAGGAATGTTCAATGAATATTCTAAGATTGTTTCGATTGAAATATTCATTTTTGAACGTTCTATTTATGTACTAGGAATGTTGCTTCTATGCACCTACCTGAAAGATTGTGCTAAGAACCTACTTTATATAACATTCTTTGAATATTCTCATACGAACATTATTATAATGTACCCTAAAAAATGTTTTTTAAGCTAATATCTCTATCAAGTATTAAGATTATACCTACCAAGTTGTGCTGAGAAGTTTATGTAAGTAGGTAACCATGATAAGAATATTTTCATATTGTTCACCTAATTATCTAAAGTACCTACTCAAAAATCTTAATTATACAATTGAACAATAATGCTCTATCTAGAACCTACCAAGAATATTATAGGTATATTCTTTTTCTTTTGCTTTGTATGACTTCCAAGAGAGGGAGCGACGCGCTATTAAAGATCTGCATCTTGCCTCGCATTTGAATCGCCTTGGAACCTGTTTCTCTCAGTTGGCATGCTTCGACGAGAGCATAACAAGCTCGAAACCGGAGCTTTGGTTAAATACTCGTGTTTTCTAGAGAAGTTTTCCAACAACTCTTTCACTGCCTTTAATATAAAAGGGCTGAAACGAGTATTATTTGGAAGCGAAAATTAACATTCCAAGTATATCCTTAGAATCAAACAAGAATATTATGTCTAGGATGCATATTGAGAATGATATATGTAGATATATTCTAAGAATATTTCAAGCATATTGGTATAATATTCTTTTGAGAACAAAACTATAATGTCATAGAAACATTCTTTGAATGTGAGAATATAGGTACGTTTCGAGCATATTTTTAGAATCAAACAGGAATATTCTTTTCAGGAAGTACTGAGAATCTCATAGGTTCTAGGAATATCCCAATGGATTTCCCAGGAAGTTCTTGGGTATTGCAAACAGTATTTCTACAATCTTTTCTCAGAACATTCTCAGGACATTCGCAATGGTTTTGGCGAACATTCTAGGCACATTCCTCCTAAAAAAAGAACATTCTTAATACATTCTAAGGATGCAATTTTGTTATGTGGGCATATTGACTCGTGATATAATCTACTATAATGCGATAGGGCTATTATAGGACAATTGGGCATGGCATGGAAAACATCAGCCGCAAATACTTCCACGAACAACGAAAATTATGCATTATAGATCTCACAACTAAGAATACTTCCGTTTAAACTAAAAACAAAATGTTATTAATTTTCGGATGTCGGATGCCATGAATGGAATTTTGCGAAAGAGAGCCATTAATTTTTGTGATAGGTGTGATGAAATTAATAGTGAAACGTGTCCCCCTGGAAACAAAAGTTTACGGGTCCGAAGGTTTTTTTTTTATTTCTACTTTCAAAGCCGTAAATCTTGCTGGACTGTTTTCGATGGGCCACCCTGTATAAGTAGGTATATTATTATATTTGAGTATCTATATTTTGAAGCGTTTTTGCTACCGAGGTCTTGAATTGCGTACAAAATGTTAAAGTCAGATATGATAAGACAATCAAACGTTTGTCTGTAGGGTGTCGGGTGTCTCAAAAAAGTTGCAGCATTATTTAAAAATAGGTTTTGTGAAAGGAAGTGCGCCGTGCGCCATATTGGATTTTCACTCATATTTCCAGATTGTGTTTTGAATCGTTAGCCTGATTGTTTATCTCCAAAACAATCCCTGTATAAAGAAAATTTGACGACTAGAAAAAACGTGGCGAGTGACTGAAATACCAATCTTTAGTTTGTGGTATTACTATAAAAATTAAAATCCGATATTTCGAACATATCCAGCGCTATTCAAAATCAAATTTTTGAAGAAGTCCGCCATCTTGAATTTATCTTATATCAACCAGCTACTTAGGAAAGGAGGGCCTGGTATTCAACCTTATTAATTTAATTGCCGATTTTATCGGATGTTTATTGCAATTCAGCAATAAATTCATATAAATAGTGGGCCAAGCCGAGCAACAGATATACTTGAACCAGTATTAGTACCGTCACCCTGGGAACACCTCACTGAAGTCAAGTCTCCCCAGTGCAAGTACTGCCACCCTGGGAAAGCCCCTCTAGATGAGGATCAGTTAAACGACGATTAGCATTCAACGTAGTACCGTCAAATGTGTGGCCCTATCTACGGAAGACCGTGCATCCTAGAGGATTAATGACGTAATGATTTCATAGCAAATATACACTTTTTTATATAAAACTCAGCGAGTTTCTCTCCATCTATCTACCCTACACCCCCCGTCACGGAGAGGTTGTGACAATATTATTACTTTTCTTTTACCTTTCGAGGCAAGTATAAAACATTTAACTTACCTGTATCTGTTCAAAAGGTACTTCAAAAGTAAAAGATTCATTGTAATAAGGATTGAGTGTGCACTTTTTGATGCTAGTCTTCTTCTTTTTGAGGCGTTTCCCGTTTTGCATCAGGGCGATCTTAACGTAAGGATCTAAGAAACGAAATTTGACTTACTTTGAAGCGACCAAATAAATCAAAAAAATATTCTTACCAGAAAGACCACCAACATCCATTTTCTTCAAATTCTTGGCTTCCAAGATGACAACGGTCAATTTCCCAGCAGTGGGAACGTATCTCAAAGAGAAGCAAATGTCTCCCAACTTATTGTCCTGCAATAGTTTATGGTAGAGTAAGCTGAATTAGAATGTTCTTCACAAAGTTTGATCACATCTAAATCTTGGTTGCGATGCTCTCAGAAAATTGTTGAGCTAATTTGTAGGTACTTTTTTTGGTAAGTATTCAATTTTTGCTTAAATTTTTGCATAATTTTTTAAAATTTCATAATCTTTTTACACCTCTGATGGATTTAACAAATTTATACTTGAATATATCAAATATGAGAAGCTAAGACACAAAATAGTGAGAGAAACAGTCCATAAACACGTATAAAATTGAGAAAAAACAACAAACAAAACAACACTGGGGGAAATTGGCATGCGCAATCAAGACTTGGGTGTCATCAAGCCAGTTTATTAGAGGAATTATAAACAAAATACAATCGTGGTGGATTCAGGAACACACTGAAAGAGAACTAAATAACTGATTTACAGACCAAATATTAATTAAATAAATGGACTATGTGCACACGTTTTAAAGGAAAAACAACAGATCATAACCGACATAGTGTTGTTGGAAAAACACCTAAAAAATTAATTATTATTTACCTTCGTTTCGTACATAACATTGTGTTATTAAGTAAATCGTATCTAAAACTTGTCTGCATTGTTATTAGGTTATTTAAAATGTTGTGTTACCTATATTTTTTTCTAAAAACACCCAGCTCAAACCAGCTTATAAAAATCTATATAATTGAATCTTACAGCAACTTCTTGAAATATCTATGAATACCTATGCTATTATTCTCTATATAGAATAATTTTCAGCTGTTCTCTTTTTAGAAAATCTTCAAAGTTTGTAAGCCTTAAATTTGATTTTTAGGTTTTTTATACCAAGTATGATGAAAATTTTTATTTTAAAAATAGGTTGAAAGTAGTTCAAGCAAATATAAAAAGTTGTTGTAAGATACCTATTGAAATAAAATCTAAGTCACAGTACGTTCTAAGTATCTATTGTAAATTGTTTAACATTGGCGGGTTAAAAGTAAAGGCCAGTTCTAGGAACTATGTAAAAAATCAGCTGTTTAGATAAATTATTATAGGTAATTTATCATATGAACTAATTGCTAAGAAAAAATGTTAGTATGTATGAAAAAGGTACCTTTATAGACATCGGGAAATTCCAACTTTAGTGGATAATTTTACCAACAACTAGCAAATAAATTATTGGGCAAATGTGAAACCAATACTAAGTTTTTAAGGTTTTAGTGGTTTTGTTATTGAAAATATAGCTTGGTTTCACAGTTTTTGCCATGTGAAATAAATATGTACTGTGCTGTTTTATCTAACTAATTGGTGCTGGCATGCTGGAAGTAAAAAACTGGTAGAAACCAACTTGTTTTTAAAATGTAAAACTTATACAATATTATACATAGGTGAGTTTTTGTGTTTAATAAAAATTTAGAGATAATTTGCCTAGTGAGCATCAGTTGGAAGTTTGAGATTTTATTTTGCTTTTTTTTTTGAAAATTACAAAGTATTTTAGCAAAAACAGTTCAGAAGCGATTATATACGTACGCAGAACGATAAATTTATGGACTACGCGGGGTTTGTAACATTTATAATTTTATAATAAATGAACTGATAATTAAAATTCTTTGGGCAGAGGAATTTATCAATTTATTTTATTTCATGTTAATTCGAAACCGTCTTTTATATCGGATATCACGAATTAAGAAACAAATAATTGAAATACGTCACAATATTAACGAGCGGGAACAAATGACTCTAAAAATTAACGTGCCCGTTTCAGCCCATCTTTCAGAGCATTCCTATCCAAAATCTTGGATGAGAAGGACAAGTTGCGTCGTTCATCATTTTGAAGTGCGTATTATGCTATTGAAAATGAAGAGAAAGTTAAGGAAAATTGGAGGATTAAACATTTTGGTCCTGGGCGGGATTCGAACCCGCGTCCTCAGCATTGCCGGTGCTACGCTTTAACTAATTAAGCCACCATGACCCTACAGCTCTTTTTAATTTTTTTTTGATGTTGTTAGAGGAAGTTGCGTGGTTCACCGCTTACTGCCAAACTTCTCAATCCTCCAATAGATTCACACATTTTTTGCATCGCTCCAAACTCGAATAAGCTCCTTATTACTATGTAGGTTTCGCCCATATGTGTGGAAACTTGGTGTATGCGATGTGCGCATAAGCAATGTTGAAAGGAATAAAGTTTTTGTCGGTTAAAACAACCGAAAAGGGTGGAAATTGAAAATGAAGAGAAAGATAAGGAAAATTGGAGGATTAAAAATTTTGGTCCTGGGCGGGATTCGAATCCGCGTCCTCAGCATTTTCCTTAACTTTCTCTTCATTTCCAATTTCCACGCTTTTCGGATGGGGGAGGGTGCAGGGGCTGGTATACCGGGTGCCCACGAGATTACTTTCCGGCTGCCATTTTTTTATTTGTTCATCGATATCAACGAAATTTGGTAGGGTTGATATTCTAATCAAACGCCATTTTTATGCATTTATGACAACTTTTTCTGACTTCCGGTTTCACCGGAAATTACCGAAACTTTTGATTTTCAAATGGCACACCCTGTATATTTTTTGTTTATCGGATTCTACAGATCGTTTTACGTCCTAATGAACCACTTTTAAATCGATTTTTGTCCAAATTTCGTTTTCAAATTAAATTTTAAGTAGAAAAAAAAAAAATTCCTACAAAAATAAGTATATGAACGAAAATTGAGAAAAATGTCGTAGTGTATTATATCGTTGGATTCGCTTTAAAATACTGTATTTAGTAATGTTATGAAAGTGATATGTTTCTATTCTACTTTTTGAGCTAGGGCAAAAATACTGAAATAATGGGGTTTACAGCCCTCTATCAAAAAAGTTTACAAAGATAAGATTGAGTTTGTATTTTTCTGAAATTAAGTAAAGTATGTAGAGTCATTTTAGGATGATCATGGCACTCTAGTTAAAAAAATAAAATTTAATTTAAAAATTAAATTTGGACAAAAATCGATTCAAAAGTGGTGCATTAGGATGTAAAACGATCTGTAGAATCCGAAAAACAAAAAATATACAGGGTGTGCCATTTAAAAATCAAAAGTTACTGTCATTTCCGGTGAAACCGGAAGTCGGGAAAACTTGTCATAAATGCATAAAAATGGCGTTTGGTCAGAATATCAACTCTACCAAGTTTCGTTGATATCGATAAATAAATTAAAAAATGGCAGCCGGAAAGTGATCTCATGGGCACCCGGTATACAGTGAGTTCATGAAGTCCCGCATAAATTCATTATTTTGAAAACGGTAGAATTTTGGAAAAATCGCTCAGACACGTAAATTTTGTTTTTTTGTTTGAAATTTTTCGATATATTTTTTATCATACAGGGTGTCTCAAAAATAGCTTCGCTGGTATCAACTCATTTTTTTTTAAATGGTACCCCTGTATATTAGGACATTTCCGGATTCTGCGGAAAATTCTCGACATATTTCATGTACAATGTCATATACCTATCTTCAACTGATTCGGAAATATTGACAGTTGAAAGTTGACTTTTTTGCAACTTTGACAGGCTGTAAAACCTAAACGGTTGATTTAAGAGGAAACCCGATTTTACATCCCTGTCTTAGATTTTCATAAACTATCATTTGACACCAACTTTAATTAAACCAGAGATTAAATTCAACCGGAATTTTTAATCTTGGATTAACTCCAAAGTTGGTGTCGAATGATAGTTTTTCTATTTTAGTGTCATATCGAAGTCTTTTCGACACTAAAAGTAGTTTCGAAAAGAAGCTCTTTGTGACACTCCTTTTTTACTTATCGAAGGTTGGTAACACTGGCTGACTGATGGCCATCGAACTGTCATTTGCGATTTTATAATAGAAGATTTCTATATTTGACATGTAGTGTTACCAACCTAAACATATGAAATCAAGAAATATGAGAATATAATTTCCAAGAAAAGTTTTTTTTTTTAAATTAAACAATACCAAAATAGAAAAAATAGTATAAAATATTCGTTTCATAAGACATTTTATCGCACTCGCCCTTTAGAAAACTCGCCTCCGGCTCGTTTTCTAATATAGGGCTCGTGCGATAAAATGACGTCTTATGAAACTTGTATTTTAATGTACTATTATAGAAACTAAGACAAGAATGTATGATCGATTTTGCTGTAAAATCAACCGTTCAGGTTTTACAGTCTGTCAAAGATGCAAAAAAGTCAATTTTCAACTGTCAATATTTTTGAAACAGTTGAAGATAGGTATATGACATTGCACAGGAAATATGTCTAAAATTTTCCGCAGAATCCATAAATGTCAAAATATACAGGGGGTACCATTTGAAAAACTAAAGTTGATACTAGCAAAGCTATTTTTGAGACATCCTGTATGATAAAAAATATATCGAAAAATTTCAAACAAAAAAACAAAATTGACGTGTCCGAGCGATTTTTCAGAAATTCTACCCGTTTTCAAAATAATGAATTTATGCGGGACTTTATGAACTCACTGTATAGGGAGAGACCTCTGGCGAGAATTAGTCTTGCACTGGATCGATAGCTAACGGTATACCAGACTAAAATCTAAGCCATACAGGCTCAGGAGAATCTCCCGAGAGGTTACTCGAGCAAGCATACAGGGTGTATCAGGTTTGAATACAAAAATTTTAACACGTGAAAATATGGCCAATTTTGAACAAAAAAAGTTTATACTAGGTACATGGGGTCCAAACATTTTTGAGAAAAAGGCCTTTGAAGTTTAGACATTTTTTGACGAATATTTGATAGAGAAAATTTTAATCATTATGTGATGTAAAAAAATTTAGTTCATTCAATTATTTTAGTCAACAACATTAAAAAAAAAAAATTTAAAACAACATGAAAATTTCACTCGTAAATTGGTATCTAAACATCTGGGAGCAAAGCACATCACACACACTTGATTTGTCCTCTATCAGTTAGTTGAAGCATTGCAAACGCGCGTAATTAATTTTTAATTTTTTTGAAAATAAAATGTTTACAAACGTCGGATAT